TTTGTGCGTGGGTGCGTGAGCAAATCGAATGGTGAGATTTTTTTTCTTTCGTGTGGGATGAGACGCGAATAGTGGGAGAGTGAATATTCATCAAGCACATACACAAACAGCACAGTGGAAACCGTTTGAACGGTTAGAATCAACAAAAACAATTCTCGCGTCACTTTTCAAATAGACCAATGTAACAAATGTAAACAAATCGAGTTCAGCGATACAAACTATTGCTCTTGTATCATTGAAGTGACAAAGGACCACGGCAACGAGAGGAATGATTTAATTTTCTGTTTTGTTTTGTTTCCGTTCCGGCGCTGATGACGTACGCTGCGTTTGAGTTTCTGCAAGTTCCGTAGATGAGCTACCCTACATAGTACACGCCTATATGGGCGCCCAAAATAGTATGCCGCAAGTAAGTATATCACCAAAACAACTCAAGATCAAAAAATAAAAACAAATGGCGCTGCAGAATATTGAGGTAACTTCTACAATGTACTGTAATTTGTACAATAATACTCATATTACTTTAAACAATCGTCACGTCGGTCATAGCTTGTTATGATTGCCTGAACATTGCGTGGAGCGCAAGTCGAAACATTGAACGTTGCGTGATAGTGGAATTGATTCAAGGCCTAAATACTTTTTCGTAGCCTTTTGTTTTCGGATTTGAAAGATCGTCGGTTGCAGTGGCTTGCTTGCTGAGCAGAGGAGCGCGGTCCCAGGTCCTTTCATATTGGGGGGTGTGTGGTGGGATCGCTTGTTTATCGTGTATTTTGCTAAACCTTTCGTTGTCAACAATCTCGCAAGAATGTGAAAAACTGGCCTAACCTCATAATCTTAATAAATTAATTCGAACAAATTTGAGTCTGAGTGTTCAAATGTACGTAGATCTAATAGTTTTCTAGATAAATTTCCTAGCTCAATCAAGCAGTTCGACCTAGTGTCCTTCCAATAATTTAGATGTAACTTATATACATTTCTAAATTCTGAGACTTCTAAGAATGTATCATATTTCGAACTTCATAAGATTATCTAAATTTTAAAAATTCCATAATTTGTTGCGATTTTGAATCTAATATTTTTTTAAAATTCTGGAACGTTTATGTTAAGTTAGCAGCAGCAGCAGCAGCAGCCATCATCCATCGCAGAGGAAAAAAGTTAATCGAACGCGAAATCAGTCGCACAGTTTTGGAAGTAGATGCAAGGACTGCACACAGTAAATTGGTGATAAAAGTCCGTGTGCCTGCACTGTTGCAATAGTATTTCCATTTATTAGTTTTATTATTGCCCCCCACACATCAAAAATCATTCCGCTCAGTGCCACTGTTGTTACGTTCGAATAAAAAAAAAAGTTGATGAAATTTTCGTCGAATCGTAGAACGAGTGTGCCAATGGTGTAATAAAAGCGAACCAGTGTTATCTATTCGCAATCGGTTCGAACGAAAGGAAAGTCTTCTTTTTTCCAAAAAAAAACCCCTTTGAACCATCTAGGTTTAAAAGATCATCGGTAGTAGAGGCTTATCCTTGTGTAAAGGGCACCACCGTGGAGTTTGAGTTTGAATAAATCACAGGTCCTATTATATTATTATATATTCAATGATAAATATTTAAAACAGGATCAAAACACAACTGGAAGAAGCAACGTAACATCATTTGATTTTCTCTAGAGTATGTTTAACGTTTATATGACGAACATATGGCTTGGTACGTGGTACATCTTTACTACGATGGAAGTGAATCGTATATTTTTTCTTCCTTTTCCGGCTTTGGTTCAAATAGCCAAATCTATTGATCTAGACTGAATACTTTCAGCCCATCGATAATAGAATAGTGTAGGATCCACATTGTAAAGAATCCCTATTTTCAACTATTCTACAGGCTGGAGTTGCTGTTTGAAACCTTTAGTTAATTTATATGTATAACAATTATTCACAAGCATTCTTCCAGGTGAATTCAAGAATAGTTTGATGATGATGAATGTTCCTAATATTATTACAGTTATGACCCGATCCTGTCAGTCTCTTCGCGCATCAGACTGTTATTTTTCAATAACTCCACATAATTATAATTTCATATCTTCCTCCTTCAAGATGGATGTTTAAGATACACATACTTTGCTAGCTGACAAAATGGGGTCATTGCTGTATAATTGTTCTCTTTTTTCAGCCTTCCAGTCTGAAGGATCTATTGATTAAAATTATTTAAGTTTTCTTCCAGCTTTTCGATAACAGAACATTATTAGATTTATACTGTAATGATTTACTCTTACAGCTTTCACCCTGGTTTTGTCTGTTATTTGATTTGTTTGAATTGGTTTTCAGCGCTTTGGTGTTGGCAGTCGCGGGCGGTCAATTTTGCTCATGCTCATGCTCTAAGTTTATTTTCAGCTTTTCGATAATGGAACGTCTTCAGATTTATATTATAATGATCCACCATTTTGTTTAGTAAATCCAAATCGAAGTATAATGCATGATAACACTGATTCATTTAAAACATGGTCGCATCACTTATCAAGGTGAATCCTGATCCAACGAACCCAACTTACTAACAAAATCTCCTTTCCTGTGTCTTTTGTTGGGGTGCAGAGGTAAACATGGCCCACAAACAACAAAGGTCACTCTAATATTCCTTCCCTACTCTCACCTGATTGCAAGGACGTGGCCGGTGCCGTTATTGATCTACAAAATATGGAGTCACTGAAACTTGTACAATGATAATGGACGGTCACTCCCAGCCCCATTCAGTTGATTCATTGTACAATTTCACTGATTCTGATCAATCACGGAGTAGCAACCATTGATATGTGCAGTCAGTCTAAGATAAGCTAAGCTAAGCTAATTGCATTTTGAAGTCTATGCAAATTTAGACGTTAAGCACGCAAAGGTTAAAACGTTTTCATTAACTTACGTTCTGGAGTTTCAATTCGGCGAATTTGTATGCATTTCGGCAGTATAAAATGCATAACTTCACTCGGGTCTAAAAGAAAATTTTAAACATATGTTTCAAAACCGTTAAAATGTATATATATTAATATGAATGCATACCGTTCAAATCAACACTATGCGTAGATAACATCTCTGTTTTTTGCTGCTGGGTCCAGCTTCACCGAGTTCGTCAACATCTCTTTTATCGGACATTTTTACAAAATTACGCAGAGCTAGTTAAACTACGCAGCTACGTGGGTTTGTGGTCATTCAAGTGAAATCGACGTGCAAAGTCATTGTTTACGTTTCGAGCTATATCCTTCTGACATGTTTTCCCTATATTGTAATATTCCAAGACAGGAGCACGACAGCTTATTCTCTCATTTTTTCGTTTTACTTTGCATTCTACTCTCTTCTTCGCTCAGTTCGAGCAATTCCACTCGTGAAAAGCAGAGAAGAGTAACTCACCAGCCCGACAGCAGCCAGTTCGTCCGACGGCATTCTTACTGGGTGAATACATGCGTCGCATTGAGAGGGCAATGCGATGAGACAAATAAAAAGGAATTTGAAACGCCCGAATTTGTTGAGAGCGTGCTTGTCGCGCGCAGAACGGTCTCTCTTTTGTTCAATTAATGTAGCACGTACACGTAATGTAGACAATCTCGATATCTAATCAATTTTCGGGATTAAAGCACATTCGGGGAAATGTATCCTATTTAACTTTTGATCTTTACCATTAAAAAAATCGCGTCAGATTTACGTGGTAGCTTTGTCCATCCCTAACTTCACGTAAGAACTAAGTGATTGTATGGTAAATTTATCCCCTCAGCATTGAATGAAGCGTACCATATTTTCACGTAAAACTTACGTTGATGGTTTTGACGGTATTTTCAGGAGCTAATTATGTACAGGTTGCAAATACAAAAATTTAAATAAGTATTTGCAGGACAATTGCAACGGATTGGGCTGGTTTCTGTCGTATCCCACGTTTAAAAGCAACCAAAAAATGTGCACACATAATCAATCCAAATTGTATCACACTTACGCAACCGAACATTCCGGAGCCGCAGTGAGCGTATGGCTGTGCTAACATTTGACTGTGTCGCTACTTTCATTAAAAAATTTAAATTCTTCATAATTATAATAAATACCTCGTTTATCTACAATATATTAAGAGTTTCACTACACTTTCTGTATCACTACAGTTTCATGTGAGAATTACCATGTAGTTCAATTATTTGACCATTTTGAGTTCAGCATTCATAAACCTATTTCAAATAATAAAACATATTACAGCATTAAAGAAAAGAAGCTGAATGTTTCAGGGGCTACGAGATTCATCACGGAGGAAGTGCATAATTTTTAGAGTGTAGGTAACTGTTAACTAACTGTGTGAAACTAGGGCTCATTGAGAATTTCTTTTGTATTTCTACTGCATAATTGGTCAACAAGACCTTCATCAAGGTTTTGGCCAATTTCGCCGCTACAAACTCACCGTCATCACATATGCATTTCACATAATCTCCCTCCGGGAAAAGAGGCAAAAACGAACCCACTCCCACCACGCCACAGTCATTACCGTTGTCACCAAAAGACAGGAAATCATCATCCTTACTTTGTTTTCCCCATCGCTCTCCTAACATAATTTCTTCTCGCGGCCCCCCATGGAAGCAGAAGAGCAAACACAAAGTGGCATTATCCCCATCACAGAATTTGTAGATTCTTTCTGCGCTTTCCGCCGCCCGTGATGCAATAAACTCGAAACGGAAGCGCGGATTTCTTATCTCTGCTTTGCGGGCGCGCGAGGAGCAAGCTTTCGCCTTTTGCCCGGCTCGTTCAGACACAAGACAGCAGTAATTAACTGCTTCAACGACGGATCTCCCGCCTCTCCCCCTACCTTTACCCATCACGGTCTGGCAATAATTAAAATCTGGTTGTAATTTAACGGTTTCATTCGCGCGCTCTTATCTCCTCCACGACCTCGGAAAAGCAGCTTTCCATAATTGAATTAGTTTTCACTCGCCTGCACGGAGATTGTCATCACGATCGTTGGCGACAAAGACAAAGGATTAGCATACGTACCTCGTCATCCACGGCACTGGTGAGACACTCCTGAACGGCAAGCATGTTTGCGGTCGTTAGGATGGATTGAATGTCCGCTCCGGTGTAGCTGTTGGATTTTTTGGCATAGTATGCGAGTTGAACATCGGCAGCCAGGTCTAACGAGCGACTTTGGTTTTTAAAGATCTGCAAGCGGGATTTCTGTGCCAAAAAAATTGGTAAATTTTAATCAGCTTCAAAGTCATTCCATCGTAGCACTAACCTCATCCGGAAGACTGCACTCTACCAATCGATCGATTCTTCCCGATCGCAGCAACGCTGGGTCAAGTAGTTCGGGTCTTGAGGTCGCTCCAATCACCGTCACCCCCTGAAGACCTTCCACACCGTCCAGCTCGGTGAGCAACTGATTTACCACCCGGTCCGTAACTCCAGTCGAGTCATGCCCTCGTCGTGGTGCTAAACTATCAAATTCGTCGAAGAACAACACACACGGTTTGGCACTTCTAGCTCGATCGAACAGATTCCGCACGTTCTCCTCACTCTGGCCGATGTACTTTGCCAACAGCTCTGGACCCTTGACGGATATCATCCGCAGATTCCACGTTTTCGCCAGCTTGGAAACTGCACAAAAATTTATTATTTCCACGATAGAATTGAATTTAACTCTTCAAACCTAAATAAGTCTTCCCGGTGCCTGGGGGACCAAACAGCAGTATTCCGGCCTGATTCCGCAGCGGTGAGCGGTCGAAAATTTTCGGAAACTTGGTTGGCCACATCAGCACCTCCTGGAATACGTCGATTGCATTCTCCAGCCCCGGAACCTGATCACCCCGAACGTCATCGTCATCGTCCAGCTCGTCGGCACGCTTGTGATTTTCAATTCCCTGCAGACAGTACTCGTTGGTAACATCCAAGGCACTATCGATCATGGCATCCGTCACCAGGGGAGATTTGGAATCTACAGCCAAAAAATAGTCTATTGATAAAGATTCAAACAATAAATCCCCAAGCCTTACTCTTCTTAAACGCATAAAACACCGCTCGATCCACCATCTGTACCAGGCTACCCACCGAGTAGCCCTCCGTCGAGTTGGCCAGCTTCTTCCAGTTTATCTTCTTCTCCAGCTTGCAGCGTTTATTTACAAACAGACTTTTGATCACAATTTCCCTATCAGTCTTATCGAGATTTGGCACCTTTCGGAGGTGATGGAACAGGTGGGAGCCCCGCGACGAGTACAGCCTTCGGTTCAGGTTGGCCACGCTGCTGATCGATGCGATGACCGAGATCGCATTGCCGCTGGTAAACTCTTCGATTTGCTTCCGGACTACGTCCGACACCCTGAAACGAAATTCCATGCACAGTTAGTCGTTCGCTCATAAGTCAGCTTGAACTGCGAACCCACTTATTGTGGTACTCGGCATCCTGGGTGTTCTGATCGCCGGAGTTGTGCGTCAGAACATCCAAACCTTCTAAGTACAGCACCGCCGGACTGTGGAACATGCACATGTAGAAGGCATGGCGAAGGTCCTTCTGTATGGAATCCGGCTTGCGGCCCTTGTGCTTCGAACAGTGGAAGGTGGTCGTGAAGCAGTGGTACGGTGCTTCACCGAGACGACTCAGCACCGTTTGGCAAATGGTCTTTTTGCCACTTTGGTTGGAGCCTGGAATAGGGATAGGTATTGTATTAACTGTCAAATAATAATAACAATAAAGAACAATTAATCACTATTTTAAAAGTTCGATAGGAGACATTTTTTGGAAATTTCTTCAATGAGTTTGGGGTTATGATTACGGAGGCACTTTTTTTAGATTTTCAACTTTTAATGTGATTTTAAATGATGAGATAGAGAAAATATTTTTACATGTTCATTTTCTCATAAATCTAAAGAAAAACCTGATTTTCTTAGATTTTTTATATTTTTCCCCAATATCAGAGCTGGTAGGGATTAATGTTGTCAAAAATAGTTATTTTAAAGGGTGATACGGTCAAAATTTGGTCAAGGGAAAACGCGTGTAAATCGGTGAAATCGTTTATTGAAAAAATCAAATTAAATTTCTTTTTCAAGTTCAATTAGTATAAAATTCAGGAAAAATATTCAGTTAGGCTTCCGCTTTTCCAAATCCGAATTGCCGGGCCTTACGCTTGACCGCTGCCATCAGATTTTGTACAGCCACCTTGTCCACCTTCTTCGCCGCAGAAAGCCAGTTTGCCTTGAACTGCTGCTCGCCCTTAGCAGTTTTTGACGTAGAACTACGTCTTTGTTGACTATACTGGGGTGCAAATCAAAAAATATGTGTAGTGAAGGAGTGTTAGGTTTTGAACGCTTGTAACTTTGTCATTTATAGATGAAATTAAAATCTAAATACGCCAATCGATAGGATATTACATTACGAACCTGTTGAAATAAATATTTTTCCAATTTTTCTGTAATTAAACTATTGAAAATGTACAAATGATAACTTTATCACTGATTTCATGAAATTAGCCTTTTTCCCAAACCCAGTCATCACAAACGAATACCACTTGGTTGCACATCATTCTGCTTGAACCTGAAAAGATATAAATCAGCGCTGCTCTCATGCCTCTGCTCATTACCGCTTCGGACAGCGTGGCACTAGGTCCTGCATCAAGCAGGACTCGGTCAGCGGCTAAAGGTGGATCACGGCGTGTCCACCACAATGAGGGATGAGACTTGAAAAAACGTGCATGTAAAACCCCTTCCCGCTTAACAACCCCCTCCCCCTTCCCCTCAACAATAACCCGAAAAAGACATGGACTTTGACGATCATTTTTTTTTCGGGAAATAAATTTTAAGCAAACCCTAATAATGTAGGGGAATTTACGTATTCTCGTCAATCTAAGCAGCGTCTGCACTTCTACTAGCATTTTCTCAGCGTCACGCACATATATGATGTGTCTGTTTGTTTAAATTCATCTGCTGCTTGCTTCTCTATCCATTCCAATCGACAGAATTTTTCAAAACGTTTTGAAAGCGTTTTTACAACGCTCCAAACTTCTCAGGTGAGTGTGACTATTGTCGGCAGTCTCTTTTTCTTCAGCAACCTTCCCATTAGAACTGCGTGTTAACCAGCTGTTCTATTATCGGCAACTCGAAATCAACCTCATTTTGTAGTGCGTATGCTTTATTTGAAGAAAAATGTAGCATTACTGGATTGCTCGATCGTTCAAATATAATCAGATTGAAGCTGAAAGGCTAAACAATCGTTTGGACACATTCAGGGAAGTGCGTTGATGGGAAAACATAGTGAAATTAACGTTTAAATTTTGGTTGCCGAAAACAGTCAATGGGTGCCGAAGCCAACATTTACCCTATTAACAATTAATTTTATACATGCAGAGCCAACATTTTCAAAAAAAAAAATATTGCTTAATAGGAGACATACACTCGATGAATTACCAACAACTGACTGTAAAACATATCTGGTGCCTCTATATATGCAATTATATTAACATCCAAAATCCATCCTATTTTACATATTCTGCACAAAAGAAACTTTCTGCTCCGCCCCATTCATAAAAAACTGCGGGAAATCCTATCAGGTTCTGAACCGGAAAAGATATAAAACAGCGCTGCTGTCATGCTTTTGCTCATTGTCGCTTCGGACGGCGTGGCACTTGGTCTTGCAGTAAGCAGGACCAAATCAGCGGCTAAAGGTGGATCACGGCGTGACCACAATGAGGAAATGTAATGATGTAAACCCCCTCCTCCTTTCACAACAACCTCTCGCCCTCCCCCTTCACAACAATCTCCCCACCCCTCAACAACCTCTCCTAACCAATTATCAATGACAATTATCCACGGCCCATACAAATTTTATATTTTTTATATGGACAATTGTCTACGCATGGGGAGGGGGGGGGGTCAAGCATACCGAAAAGCTGTCTACGTAGTTAGTGAACAGCCCCTAAAATAACACTGTTATCAAATAAAAAGCAGCTCACGCGACCACCACCGATCGACCAAAACAATCTGTGGGCAGTGTTGCGATATATCGTTAAAAAAAGTTGATGCATTGTCCAATACTCATATTGTTCGTTTAACTCGTATAACTTAAATTATGCACTCATAATGCTTAAAAACAAACAAATAATGTTGAAAACATAAATGACCTATGTAACTGTGATTATAACAAAACGTCCTTTATATATATTATGTTGTTATATATTATTATGTCCAATGTACACCTGACAAGAGCAAAATGTCCTATGTAACATTTTTCACGATTTCATAGAAAAAAATGTATGAAACAGTTAGATCACAGACAAACAGACATAACACATCGAATATTTCTCACTGTAAAACATCGTCGCTAAAACTTTACCGCCATCTGTTGAGTACACTGTGGTGGGCACTACACTTAACAGAGGGCGGTAGTGTGTAAACGTCAAACGCAAGGGAATTGACTATGTGCGCTACAGGTGGCGGTACTACCAGCTACGATACTTTTAAATTGTCCGTTAAATGCTTGTTCGATGAGCAATTTTCGAGTATTATGTCTGTTTGTCTGTGGATAGATTATAATTTCAATTTCAATTTTACTATTAAAGGTCTTAAAAATGTCAAAAGTTGATTTGGTTTAAAATAGTATCAAAAAAGATTTTGTCAATCTTCAACCTCGTTTTTCTCGAAAAGAGTGAAATGTTAGATAGGACCTTTTGAAAATTTAGGCGACATTTCATCTCTATCAAAGGGGCAGCAAAACCACAAAATTACCTTGAATACGGGGGGTATTCATTGGATGAAAGGAACACTAAAATAGAAAGTTTTTCTTCCGACAGTTTCATCTTAGTATTCATCTTTGTGTGTACTTCTGAGTGGATTCTGTTTATGTGTGGTCAAATGAAAATCATGTGGAATTTCACATGGATATTTGTCAAGAAAAATGTGTAAATTGTTTTGAGTCAACCATAACCGAAGCATTGAAATACTTGAAAATTTTAAGATAAAGTATAATAGTCAAAAATGCATGAAAAACATCAATTTTGTGTGGTTCTACG